TTCTACACATTCTCTGGATTAAAGTTACTAAGTTCAGCTTTATGTGTATCACTATTCTGCTCAAAATGTTTTAATGGTTTTGTCACTTCCTAACACAGCATTCAAAAATGAGTATGGACTTCCTTTAGTGTGCATTGGTGGTATAGTGGTGAGCATAGCTGCCTTCCAAAAATGACCCAACCCACCATTCCAAATTTATTACTTAACTATTTCCTACATGTTCAGTCTACTCCTTTTAATTTGTCTACTCAATATCCCCAAAATGTTCATTGTCTTTCCCAACTATATGTTTTGTCTATGTTCTCACCTACCTTTTAGACTCAGTTTATATTTGCAACAAATATTAACAACTCAGCTCAAATTCACACACTTATTATTCCATTACTTGAATTATTTAAATAAGTTGCAAGATTGTTTACTTAAACATGGTTTATTGATATTTTTAATTTCTTGAAATTTTCCTGATGGTACACAGTCCAAAAACAAAAGAAAACAAAGTTTTTCCAGAGTTCATGTTTTTGCTTCTGCTGCTCTTCCTGTTAAAAGAGGACACAGTAATTTTTAACTAAACATAGTTTAGTTAATAATTATTTGAAGACCTGATTCTAATCAGATCATAATACTGGCTCCATTGCATTGGAAAAAAAGAGAACATCTTGGTTTAATATTTAAAAAAAATAGAAAATCCTGCTTTACTTGTTTTTCAAAATAAATATGTTGGTATTTATTCTGCACTATGTTGGTAGTCAAGAGCAGTTAAGAGCAAGAACATTAATTCACTGTATCTATGAAGTATTCCTAGGTTAAAAGGGGAGATGGCATGTAGGTAAATGAATAAAGCATAGAGCATGTGTGGTATTATACACAGGTGACTAGAACACTGAAAACCAAGGAGATAAATAAGTGTCTGGTGGAGAGTATTGTGCTTACTTCCTTATCTCATCTACATTGCTATGAACTTAGAAGACTTGCAAACAATACTTGCAGATTTGTTAATTACATTTATAAGTTTTATTTTATACACGTCTTAAAACAAAAGAGGAAATCTTGAAATTCTTTCCTCTCAAGAGACTAACTATACCTATAGGAAGTCTAATTGTTCGGGTTATATATAAGTTTTTTAAAACACTGCAATTTTCCTAGGATTTATTATGTCAAACATAAAGGAGAACAAAATCAGACTTTGTAAAATGCATGGCATTTACACTGATTCATTTTCAGCCGGCTTCCTCTAGCTTGCTTCCAGTTGGCAAAGGAAGAAATTTAAGACACTAATAAAGATGGTACTTATTTGCTGAATTTAAAATTCTGGTTGAAACCCTTGCACACTCATAGAACTCAAGAACTGAACCATTATATTTCCAGCTATAACTCTTCTCCATATAATATTGCACTATCTGATACAATATTTTGTATACCACATCATTAATCTCTATGAATCATAATCAAGACTTTAATAGAAATTAGATTACAGCATAAAAAGTATATATAAGTATATATATTAAATGTCTTAACATATCTTTTATGAAATTTGGATCCTTAAAATGATGTGAGTTCAGGTAGTGGCAAATTTTGTGGATTGCAATTTTACAGTGTTGAGAACAAAGAAAAAAAAGGATGAAGTAGCTTGTTCAGCTTACAAATGTTGGATACACAGCATAAAATTATGTAACCCATGTTGCAGGGTTTTGTTTTTTTTTTTTCCTGAGGTAGAAATCCTTGGAACATGGGTCCATATGTCTTGTACCCTGACTTATACAGGACACATGTGAATACGCCATGTCCTGGAACCAAACCATTGCTTTTCTGCCTATATTAAGATAACTGATTTTCCCCTTAGACTCTTTCACTGGTTGGTTTTTAAATATTAAGCTAACCTTGCATTCCTGGAGAAAATCCAATTTAATCCTGATATATTTTTTAAGTATCCCTGGATTTTGCATGAGATATTTTGCACTGTATTCATTCGAGTTATTCATCTGTAATTTTTCTTTATGGAAATATCCTAGTCAGATTTTTATATTATTATTGGAAAGGTATTACTTCTGTATTTTCTGAAACATAATTTTTAAAATATAAATATGTAAACTTTTATTGGAGAAGCTATACATACCTAAAGTTTTTTTGGGGGGGAAATGTTTTTATTTATGTATTCAATCACCTTAGACACAAGACTATTTAGATTATTTATTCTTGTGCTAATTTTATTAAGCTTATTTTTCTCAGAAATTATCCATTTCATCTGAATTGAAAAATTTGCTGTCATAAATTTCTCATATTATTGCACAGTTATCTTTATAATATCTGTAATATTTATAGAAATATCCTCTTTTAAATTCATGATACTGGTATTTATATCTTGTATCCTTTTTTGTCAGTCTTTCAAGTTATGCATCAGTTTTATTCATCTTCTCATAGAGCCAATGTATCTATTTTCAATTTTCTATATTATGCCATTTGTCTTAGTTTTGGATCACTCAGACTTTGATACAAGGTTTCAAATGCCAGTAGTTTATTTAGAAGATGAAGTAACCACCATTGTGGGTAGGAAAGTGAAAGGAAGATTGCCAAAAAGTATCTGTTATGAATCTTCGGGTTATAATTAATTCTACTGGAAACACTTTAGGAACCAGTATATACACATCCCTTAGAGTTATTCCTGCCCCCTTACCAAAGAATGAGGGAGCTGTGCAGTCTACACGTAGCATCAGTTATTGGTTGAGAACTTGTGAGAAATTGTTTCACAATATTTTTTCACATGTATGTTACATTTCAAAAACTTAAAAAAAATTAGTAGCAGTTATTGCTGAGTAGTGGATTATAAAAGATTATTATTTTCTGATTATTTATATAAAAACCAAATTTTCTTTAGTAAGTTTGTATTTTAGCACAGATTATCAAAAGCATAAAGTGTACCTCTTAAATCCATGGACATGAGAAATGTTGGTTAGTCTGAATTTTTGTTGATTCATATGTGTCAATCCGTATAAAAGCAAACCTAATACACATTCCAACTTGTTTTTATCCATTTGGTTTTAGGTGTCCTTTAGAGATTTCAGGTTCTTTTCTTGTGTCCAAATGCATAAGCCTACTTAATTGAAATGTGTGGTAAGTAATAATAAATAATACAGTAGGGGCCGCTATCATCTTCTAAGTTTTCCCATCATGCTGTCAATGTCACCCAAAGAAACATTAATGTCCCATAACTATGCAGCAGTGGAACATGACGTGCCAAATCCCAAATCACAGAGCTTCAACTAAGCAAGCCATCTAATAACTGTCATTGTCATAATCTTAGTGTTGGGGTTATTTATTCTATTTTTCCATCTGTCAGAATTCTGTATAAACTATTTGGTTTCTAGGGTGGGTATTATTCCAATGCACAGCTGGCTAGAATTTCCCCCAAAGTTTCTTCCCTTAGAAACTTTTGCTTGTATTACCTGTTGTCTTCCTCTCTTCACTGAGGTCACTATTGGAATGTGCACTGTGATAGGCAAGGGAATTACTTTTCCTCTGTGAATTAAAATTAGATCTATAGATGAAGGCCATGAGGTTGGGAGTAAAATCATTGTATCCTTGTGAATATAATTACCTATTACATTTTCAGCTCTATTTTGCATGCCTTGCAGTAGTTTTAAATATTATTATTCAAACTGACTAACTCAGAAGCACCCTCTTTGGTCAGATTTTTTTGAGAGTGAGAATACTTACAAAATACTAAGTTGCTTCATAGTATATTCCTAACATTTTTTATCCCACAGGAAAGATTGGATTGAAAGCTTAGGTCAAATAGGTCAGCTTTACATGAAATAACTTACTTCTACTAGAAAAATTGATGCATGAATACCATTTCTGATGTCTGTGACCATCTTAAATGAAAAGGCAATTCCACTTGAAATGGAGGTAGTAAATATAAAAGTCCAAATCCCTAATTACCAGAGTCATATTGTAGTATGTTTATGCTTTTGTCTATCAAGCAAGAATAGTTTTAAGCATGCTTTCATTTCATGTGTTAGAAAGCAGTATGGGGATAGTTCTTCCAGATGTCCCTCTCTTACACTCACTCTTAAATTAAGGTACATTTACTTAGGTGTCCAATTCAAGAAATCTCCCATGAGATCTAACCACGAGTATTGGTTACCTTAGTATATTTTTGATTAGTTTTTGTAGAAGGTGAAGTATGGCATTTCAAATGAAGTTTACGTTACACTTAGATGATCAAAGTATATGTAGACATAAACTAAAAACTATTAGCCAGTATCTATTGGTACTATCTGTCTTTCTGTACACCACAAAAGATTTGTTAGCAGTAAGAAAGAATCAGTATAGGCTAAATTAGAGAGCTGATATATAGGTGAAATTAAGAAAGTTGTATACTGTGAATTAATTCATGTGTTTGTGCTTAAGTTCATGTTCAGCAATGATTTCAAGAAAGGTAAACCAATAGCAAAACACCTAGCATCTGGTCACTGATTATTTTGCAACAAAGATTTTAGCCATTAGGGGCCTGGGTAGTATAGATAAATTTATCAAGATAACATTAGCATAATTATTACAAAAGTAAGTTTTCCTTTTTTCATATACTTAAGATTCTTTGAAGGAGTTAATAAAATGCATAGCATGTCTGTAATTAAGACAGAGACTGTAATTAACTTAGATTTTAAGTGGCTTTTGTTGAATCTCTCTCCACAGGCTACCAAAGAAACCAGATGACCCTGGAATAAAATTCACTAATAAATTATAAAAGTAATTAAGGACTAGAAAACACCAAATAGTTATAAACAACCAAATCTGAGCAGATGGGAAAGCTAACACCAACACTCAAAATATCATGTGTATCAGGGTTAGATAGAGTTGTCAAATTTATTAAGTAGGATTGGGTGGAGAGACATGTTCATAGGAAAATGGCAACCATGATGAATATGTTGTGCATATTTTAGAAAAGCAGGGAGAATTGGTATGCTTCATGAAATATTTATTGAGTGATGATCATGTTTCAGGCACAATGGAAGATGACACAAAGACTAATGACATATGGCTTTTGACATGAAGAGGCTCAGAGTCCATACAGGTAACTTCAATAATAAGTACTATGATAAAAGGATACACAGAGAGCTATTCAAGTTCAGAGGAAGTGGATTTGACCCTACCTGATGTAAGGTTATCAGAGAATGCTTCCTGGAAGAAATGACACATGAACTTATTCTTGAAATATGAGTAGAAGGTGGTCAAGTGAACAAGTAGGAGATAAGGAGAAGGTATTTTCAGAGTGAAGTAAGTCAGAAAGAGAAAGACAAATACCATATGCTAACACATATATATGGAATCTAAGGAAAAAAAATGTCACGAAGAACCTAGGGGTAAGATGGGAATAAAGACACAGACCTACTAGAGAATGGACTTGAGGGTATGGGGAGGGGGAAGGGTAAACTGGGACAAAGTGAGAGAGTGGCCTGGATATATATACACTACCAAACGTAAAATAGATAGTGGGAAGCAGCCGCATAGCACAGGGAGATCAGCTCGGTGCTTTGTGACCACCTAGAGGGGTGGGAGGGAGGGAGACACAAGAGGGAAGAGATATGGGAACATATGTATATGTATAACTGATTCACTTTGTTATAAAGCAGAAACTAACACACCATTGTAAAGCAATTATACTCCAATAAGGATGTAAAAAAAAATAAATAAAGGAGAGGGTATTTCAAGCTGAGTTTTGACAGTGAGCACAGATAGAGAGCAGTGAAATGTCACAGGGATGAAGGTTTTTAGTGTTGCAGCTAAAGTAAAGTAGGGAGTACCATGAAGAAATGCCAAACGTGTAGGCAGGGGTCAGTTTATGGTCAGTTTATGGCAGATTTTTTATTCTAAAGAAAGAGACTTGGATTTTATCTTGTAGACAATAAGGCTCCACAGAAGCTACTTAGTAAATTGAATCCATAGTCAGAGTTTCTTATTTGAATGATTACTTTGCCAGTAGAGCAAAACAGGAGAGGAAAAGTTGGTTTAGGAGGCTATTACATTGATTTGGATGATAAATAAGGGCCTGGCATAGTTAGAGTAGAGATGGAAAAAATATAGATTCAAGAAATATTTAGAAATTAGCATCATTAGACATCAATTTGGGTGTGAGAAATGAGAGATTAAAAATAAGAATTCAAGGGTATTTGCCAGGAGGGAAAGTGCACATTTAAAGGTAAGAGAGAGAGTTTTTTCACTCTACCTACGAGCTTTGGAGAAGGGTTACTGAGCAAAGTTTGGTGAGATACCTTCAAAAGTAAAGCCCTGCTGTTGAGAAAGTTGAGCAAGAAATAATACCTGCCTTTGAAGACTATATTGCTGAAACAGTGTTTTCTTGATACCAGAATGTTTGGAGCCTAGTAAAATAATTTCTCTCACTGACAATAAGTATTGATTCTAGAAGTTTCATTCTATCTTATTTTTGACATTCAGATAGAGTTTAAGACAAGATAAACTTCCAGTAAGAAAGGACATTGGATGGTTTTGAAAAATAATGTAGACTAGGACATTTTGTCTAGTTTTATAAACTCTACCTTTGCCCTAGTATGACACATGGTAGTATGTAAAGTTACTATATCCCATGGGACAATACTGAGAAAAATCCACATGAGTAGAAATAGTCTGCTAAAACATGAGGTCTTTGCAGAAATGGGATATATCTCATGCATCTTTTACCCACAGCACCCCACATGGTGTTTAGTACCTAGTAGGAACACAAATAATGAGATCTAGATTTAATTGAATGACATTAAAATAAAGCTGTTTTACTAATTACTTCCACAGATTAAGCTTGCAAAATGCATTACAAGGCATTTTGGTGCAGAATTTTGATGGCTGAAATCATTACTTGAATTGCTTCTGACTGGGTTAAGCAGGAAATACTTTTTTCAAATAGCACCATATTACAAAGGTAGAAGGGTAAGCTCATAAAAAATTTTATATCAACCTAGAAGGACCATAGGCCCTAATTATCAAGGACACAGCCCTGTTCATGTCTCTCTCAAGATGGTACTAAGGCTTAATATTGCTAAATTCTATCCTGCTCAGCCACAATTGGCTTTACCCTTAATGTGGTCCCTGGCTCTTTTTCCTCTTCTGGTATTTATACATTACTGCCCATGATGTTGAATCTTGTTTTACTACAAAATCCTTTTTTAAGCTCTGCAGGATGCAAACATACCTCAAGTAGATTTTCTACAGTAAGGAAAATTAACATTTATTGCACACCCAATATGTGCCAAAAACTGTGCCAGGTGTTTTACATAAATGTACTTAATATTCACAATATTCTATAGGGTAAGTGGTATTATTATTTATTTTATACATGTGAAAACCAATGCTCAACATTCCAACATCTCACAGATATAGAGGTACAGATGGAAAAGCAACATGGGTCTTCAAGCTTTAAAAGCCATGGGCTTTCCCCTGAACCATGCAGTCTAACAAATGCACATTTGAGGAGCTTTCCTGTCTTCCATGTGTTAAACTCTAAATAAATGGATCACCCTGGTATAGTCTCCATGTTTTCAGCTTTAATTTCCTGAAATAATAGACTTCACCTATTCAGTACTTCTCTCCTTGTCTCACTTTCTCATATCCCTGAATACTGACACCACTGTCCATTGTATAATTGTATTCTTCAGTCATCCTTTGAACTTGGTTTACCTTCAAGTCTCTCCTGAATTTAATGCCCACTATCCTCTTAGCTGCATTTTCTTCTGGCCTACTACACTCTCAAACTGCTCTCATGATCCCTGAGTCTCTCTTTTCTATATGCTGCCCCTACCTTGTAGTCATTCCTCATACTCAGTCAGCCAATCTAAACTGAGTAATAAGATTCTTCTCCCTGCTCCTTAGCCTCACTTCCTAGCAGGTCACCTCTACCTCCATCATCATTTCTGAAATGCATGCAGTTCCACAAATATACCCCATTATTTCATCTCACTGTACTTTTGTTTATGCTACTGTCTTTGCTTGGAGTTTTCCAGTCCTACCCTATGGAGAACACCTGTATCATGACACTTCCAGAGGATAAAATACTGTATTCAAGCCGCTGATTATAGGGCATATAGCAGCTTTGTTAAATGTAAGATATATGTTAAGCAAAGCTTGAAACCAGAAGGAAGATATAGAATAAGACTTACGCTGTTTTCAAAACAATGGTTCTGCTTTCAACCGACTACATCCCTCATACCACAGCCCATTAGGTGAAGGAGCTCTGTGGTGGTTTGTGCTTTCTCTACCCTCTAAGATTATTTGATGGTTAGGGTTTATGCTTTCAATACTACCACTGCTGACCTGATTCCAAGTAAATGAGAGAAGATTAATTTTGGGAACTTTTGTGCTTGTGTATCTTCCAGTACTGATTTCTCTCCATTTGCTTTAATTTTAGTAAAAGCATCATCATATAAAGAAAAATATGTAAAAATAAGCCTAATTTCTCCCCTTTTAAAAAAATAAAAATACTGAAAATACCCTGGGTGTCCATGAAACTGCATCTGAGGGCTCAAGCTGCAGGGCTAGGAGTGACAAGTGAGCTTTATCCAGGGCTATAGCTTCCTTTGAAGATCAAGCACCCAGCTGATACACTTGGTATCATTTTAGATGTGGCTGGGGTTCCTCTCCGGTTTTAAATTCTGTTAAAAATCCTAGCCAAAGGTGATAAACTGATTCCAATTTAGCTTCTTCTTTAAACAGAATCTAAGCCCAGAAATGAAGCCAGCCACACCTTTGAAGTGCTGTTGAACATGGCAACTGAGTAGGGGGTGGGAAGAAGCAGAGCGAGAGAGGTGTGAATGGAGCTGAATTTAAAAAGAACCATAGGACTTGGGTTGCGTTTGCTCAGCCTCTGGGTTGTTCAGGTAAGGAAAAAATATCATTAAAAATAGCGGGGGACCATCAAAATGGTTTAAACAACACATACCCTGGGATTTTCCATAGCCAGGCTAAGCACTTTAGATTCAGTTCAGGTTCTACACTGAAAATAGAAAGATGCAGAAAGTATCTGTGCCTATGACTTATAAAGCACTGATTTTTTTTAAAGATGTTATTGCCATGTACTCAGTTTACTTCCAGTTTATCTTTTGAAGTGACTTCCTAGCAACTAGCTCTATCAAAATTTCTAAGTCATTTTATGGTGTTGTCCAAAAGCTTCAAATATATTCTCCAGAAACACTTTTCCAACAATGTAAAATTTCTAATATTGGATGTTAATTCAGGAAATTGAGGCATGGCACGTTCATGATTGCTTTGAAAATGCATATATTTCTGGGAGAGATAATAGTAATCCTTTAACACTTTAGAATGACTTCCTCACAGATTAGAAAACAACAACTTGACAAAATGTTCAGAAGGACGGGGATGGGGGCAGGTGAGTTTTGATTTATGAGGGGACAGAAAGAAGATTGATGAGTTAAAGGATGATCTAGTACCACAGGAGTTTTGTAGATGGAACAGGAGAAATCAGGATACCACAGAGGAGTCTCAATATGTGTAAATTCCTGTGAATATTTGTGTGCTCATAGGTAGTAGAATGGAGAAATGAAACAGCAGCCTAAATGAATTGCTTCTGATTCGTTTTGCAAAATTATTTGTGTTATATGTCTGGAGACAGCAGCTTTGTCATGTAACTCTTCAGGCTCTCAGTTTTCCCAATCTATAAAACCAGAGCATGGGACTATTGGACTAAATTATGTGTAAAGTACCTTTTGGGCTAAATATATATATTTAACATACAGTTATATAATAATAATATATTTGTATAAGTTATTTAAATTAATATATAATTAAATTAAAATAGTATATATTTAATTCAAAATATATATAAATATATATTTAATTCATGTAGTCCATACATTGTGTATATATATATCTATTAAATATATACCTATTGAATAGATATAGATATATATTTGTTCCATTTCCAGCTCTAATAATAACTTGCTGAATGACAATAGAGTAGTCATTTACCACCTCTTGTCCTTAGTTTTCTCACCAGCAAAAGAAAGAAATAGACTCAAGTACCCTTAAGTGCCTTTTCATCTCTAATCTATCATGAGTCTATATTTTCTGTAAATGGTTAAATTTTCCACACATGGACTGCAAGAGGAGCAGTTGTGTTTCCCTGTGTTTTATAGATTCAAAAGTGGCCCAATGTGGTGTCCAGCCAATTAGGCCCCTAGATTCATCTGAAACCCCAATTATGCCCCTGTGGCCCTTCCCACAGACCTACATGAAATTGTTTTGCTTCCTTTCTCTTCACACAAACAACCCCCACTCCATTTCTCTCAGATTGCAAAGGACTATGATGCCTCCAAAGCACTTTCTACACCAAAGCACCTACACAGAGACATCTTATGTTTTCTTTTATAGTCACATCCCTGATATAGTCACATGCCTAATATTTTTTTTGGATGATATCTAGGAATTCTCTCTCTGCTCCCTTTTTTTCTGAGGGAGAAATTAATAAGAATTTCTCCTCCTTCACTACCAAAGTAGTCAGTATAGGACACTCCCTCTAAAATTAATGGCAATTTTTCCTGATGGTATCATTAGTGGATGCAATACAAATAAAACTCTCGACTACTCCAGTGACCCTTATCTCAAGTGGATCATTCCTTTACCCAGGAAATTACAGAGAGGTGAATCCCATCTCAGTTTATCTCCTGTTCTAAGTAGAAAGACTCCCCCTTTCAACAGGGAGTAAATGATCTCAGTACATAAAAGAATGCCATCACTTATTATTGGATTGTCTTGTCTTTCTGAGCCCTGAATTCAAAACCTTTCTGTCCACAGGAGCATATTAGTTTTCCGTGCTGTATAAAAGAGACCACAAACTTAGTAACTTAAAAATAACACATATGTATTATCTCACAGTTTCTGTAGCTCAGAAGAGTACAGCTTAGCTTGGTTCTCTGCTTCAGTGTCTTATCAGGCTGCAGTCTAGGTGTTATTGGCGTTGCAGTCTCATCAGAAGCTCAGCTGGGGAAAGATATGTTTCCAATTGCTCCTCAATTCTTGACAGGATTCATCCCCTTGTGGTTGTAGGACTAAGAGTCTCCCGAACACACTTTTTTTTCTGGCTGTTGACCAGGCTGCTTTCAGCTCCTAAAAGCTACCTGCAGTTCCTTGTCACAAGACCCTCTTTATAGGCCCTCTCACGACATGGTAGCTTACTTCTTCAAGCCCAGCAACAGAGCAAGAGTCTCTGACCTCAGGTAATTCCCAGTCCCATTTTTGAGAACTTTCAACTATCAACAACAACAAGAAGTCATGCCCACCCGAGGTAATGTTCCTTTGATTAATTCAAAATCAACTGATGTAGGACCTTAACCACATCTGCAAAATTCCTTCACATTTGCTGTATTCTCTCAGGTAGAAACAAGTCACAGTTCCTGTCTACACTCAAGGGGATGGGATTAGACAAAGGTGTGGATATCATGAGCTGGGAAGTTGGGGCTTTTGGGGGGAATCTTAGGGTTTATCTGCCATAAGAAGTATTTCTATTCCATACGTATGTCAGATGAGTGCTCATTATTGACCTATTAACAAACTACTCTGTTGTTTTATAGGGGAAAATAATTGTAATTATACAAGATTGAAGCTTGTGTGTGAGCAATGGTAGGGAAATAGCAGGTGATCATTGCTTTCACCTCCTGTTCATACGGCTTTAGAAGTAACTGAATTGTATAACCGAAGTAACTGGTGTCCTTTAAATATCATAGGTTTTTTTGTCTGTATTATGAATGTTTCATTTTGTATAAAACTTTTATCATTCAAAGTGTTTTTTATAAGTGTGCTCATGCGATTAACACTGATAGTTTGTCTATATGTTAAGTGTAAGAGGGACAATAATATTTTATCATGACTTAAAGATTTAAATATATATAAAATCAGTGAGTATCTAAGTGTGATTGTCTGTGTGTACAATCACACAGGAAGCACACAAGTACCTTCCTGTGTGCCTGGCACTGTGTTAAGTACTTTGTGTATTAGCAAATCAAATTTACACAACAACCATTTCAGCTAAGTAGTGCTATAACAAATTTTAAAGACAGGGAATCTCATGATTAGGTGAGTTAAGTAACTTGCCCATGGTCATATTGAGTCAAGATATAGGTAGAATCTGGGTTCAAGTTCAGGACTATCTGACTCTAGCTATCACCCGCATTCTTCATTATTGTACTATAGTAACTTGTGATGTATACTATTTTCTCCATTTTTTAGAAGAAGGAAATTGAGCTACTGTCTAAGGTTAAAGTGTCTTTCCCACTTGCTTGCAGACTACTTCAGGGCAAGGAGTCTACCTTGGTCACTTTTGCATCCTCATCCTAGCACACACTAGTCAACATGTGCTGAATGACTGAAGTTGACCAAAGTCAAGGCTTTAATCCATCTCTGCTTCTTTCGAGATTTTGTATTTTCCCCTTCTAATCAGTGTCTTCCCAGACCTTGCTCTTAAAGTAAAAAATGTCACCTTGAACAATCTGTAATTTATCCAGTGGATTAGGCTTCAAGTCTTTGAACCCTTGCTTTGCTAGCATGTTAAAGGAATTGATGAATTTTGGGGAGAGACTTTTCTGGGGGAATAAACTATTTTGTGAGCACTTAGTAAGCACATTAACTCCTTGAGCCTGTGTGAATAGTACTTCAACTGAGCAAATGGTGCTCTAGTGGCCTCCATTCTAATGAATTTCCCGAAAATGGTTGACTCACCTCATCTGAAAAGATCATTTGGTGAAATGATTTGAGCCACTCAGTGGGAGAACTGATAAAAATGCAAAGTGATTGAAATGTAAGAAAAACATTCTGAACTAAAGAGAGTGACCTTTTATGAAGTTCAAGTTCTTCTCTAAGGAAATTCAGCTATTAATCTAAAATTGTTGTACACATGGCTAAGAACAAGGTGCTAAACTGTTGCTTAGGGCATACAGTGTGATTACCTTAAATATAAGATAAAGAATGGTCATTTTAGTTAGTAAGTTTATTATTATTTTCATATTCTCTGTTATGGCTGTAATAACTATCCATTCTCAAGCAGAGAATTAAGGGGCTGAATTTACTAGTAGTCAAAAGCAACATTCTAATGTCAGATTTACAATGATAGACTTTTTTTTTATCAGTTTTGCATTCCAGTACACAGAACTAGCAAGATCTTTTTCTTTCAAACTTCCAACATGTCAAAAATATCCTCTTGGCACTCCCCGCTGGCTGCAGCCTGACACGCCGCGCGGCCCCCCAGTCTCCCCAGCCCCCTCCCCCAGGCATGGCCCAGGGCCTCGCCTCACTATGGCAGCAGCACGGCACAGCACCCTTGACTTCATGCTCGGCACCAAAGCTGATGGTGAGACCATTCTGAAAGGCCTCCAGTCCATTTTCCAGGAGCAGGGGATGATGGGGTCGGTGCACACCTGGCAGGACCATGGCTATTTAGCGACCTACGTAAACAAAAACGGCAGCTTTGCCAATCTGAGAATTTACCCGCATGGATTGGTGTTGCTGGACCTTCAGAGTTACGACAGTAATGCGCAAGGCAAAGAAGTTGACAGTCTTTTGAGCAAAGTAGAAGAAAGAATGAAAGAATTGAGTCAGGACAGTACTGAGCGGGTGAAGCGATCACCACCCATAGTTCGAGGAGGGGCCATTGACAGATGCTGGCCCACTGCAGATGGCCGCCTGGTTGAGTACGACATAGATGAAGTGGGGTATGATGAAGACTCACCTTACCAGAACATTAAAATTTTACACTCAAAACAATTTGGAAATATTCTCATCCTCAGTGGGGATGTTAATTTGGCGGAAAGTGATCTGGCGTATACCCGGGCCATCATGGGCAGCGGCAAAGAAGATTACACTGGCAAAGATGTACTGATTCTAGGAGGCGGAGATGGGGGCATATTATGTGAAATAGTCAAACTGAAACCAAAGATGGTCACTATGGTAGAGATTGACCAAATGGTGATTGACGCATGTAAGAAATCCATGCGAAAAACATGTGGTGATGTCCTAGACAATCTTAAAGGAGACTGCTATCAGGTTCTAACAGAAGACTGTATTCCAGTACTGAAGAGGTACGCCAAAGAAGGGAGAGAGTTTGATTATGTGATTAATGATTTGACAGCTGTTCCAATCTCCACATCTCCGGAAGAAGATTCCACATGGGAGTTTCTCAGACTGATTCTTGACCTCTCAATGAAAGTATTGAAACAGGATGGGAAATATTTTACACAGGGGAACTGTGTCAATTTGACTGAAGCCCTGTCACTCTATGAAGGACAGCTGGGGCACCTGTATTGTCCTGTGGAATTCTTGAAGGAGATCGTCTGTGTCCCTTCATACTTGGAATTGTGGATATTTTACACTGTTTGGAAGAAAGCTAAACCTTGAAAATCAATTTCCCCTAATCATGTGTGCTGCAAATAGCCTTCCTGACCTTCATATGCTGTACATGACATCGAAAGGAGTCAGGCAATTAATTGTGAATTCCTTCAAGTTTCCTTTTTTAAATTATTTTTTAATTTAAAAATCAAATGGAAAATGTATATTTTTATGAACTAGAGTTATTTTTTTGAAGGATGATTAGACAGCACAGTGAAGGCTGCTAAATGCACTGAACCTCTAGAATGTGATTTTTGTTTTTGTTTTTCTGTGTGGGCTTTTTTTGTTTCTGTTTTGGTAGACTTCGAATTTGATTGTTTGGAGGAATGAACATCATTGTTTTCTTCTGGAGGGAAGCTCTTGACGGGAGTTCCTTTTCCCCCCAAATTGACATAGGTATTAAAATTTGGTGCTTATAAGGAAAGACTTTTAAAAATGAATAGCAATGCTTCGATTAAAATTACAAATGAGAAAAAAAAAATCCTCTTTCTTGGACTTCCCTGGTGGCGCAGTGGTTGAGATCCCACATGCCGCGGAGCGGCTGGGCCCGTGAGCCATGGCCGCTGAGCCTGCACGTCCGGAGCCTGTGCTCTGCAACGGGAGAGGCCGCAACAGTGAGAGGCCCACGTACCACACACACACAAAAAAAATCCTCTTTCTTTTCAAGGTCTTGAAAGCCATATGTACTTATCTTATTAGTATTATAGCACACATCCCAAGTGCTCCTCACACCTCCTGCCCCAGCCCTAACTCTGGCTGTCTCTTCAGTTTGCAGTAAAATTAAAACGAATCCAAGCTACTTTGTTCATCTTCGCTGAAAATTATTTTTTGTTAAATGTTACCTAAATTAGCCAAAGTTTTTGTTCTCATTTATATACCTGAAGCTCTTGTAAGTTTCCTTCAAATTATTATTTAGCTACAAATGTGACCACTTTTACCTGCTCCTTGCAATATTTTTCATTGGCTTCTTAGACAGAATAGTGCATTATCAGTGCTAGTGAATAAACACTCTGTGAGAATGAGGTGAGTCAGCATAATCACGTGCTACTTTATTGATGAGTAAGCCAAGGTAAAGAGAAGCAGTGATTCTCCCAGTGTCAAACGTGTCCGCAAAAAAACACTTAAAAACCTGAGCTCATGAATTGTCGTCCAATTGCTTAATGTTCTGAGCCAAAATACTTCTCTTTAACATCTAAAATGAGTTATTTCCACACATCTCTAAATACAGCAGTAGTTGAGTTAGAACCTGCTGTCTTTTTGTGGGACAGATTTTAACATGATTTTGATGCCAGATATGTTGGTGCAACCTTCTCATCAGAAGAAATACTTCACATTAACAATCAAAACTTACATTCTACAATGTTTTTCTAACTCTTAGAAGCCATACGTTTCTGAACAGACACACCAAAGGCTACCAAACTGTGTAGGGGAGTAAGGGGAGGAAAAAGAGAAGAGAATAAGGGATAAGAGATCACATATTTTGTCCTTATACTCTTTCAATGAGAGATGCTCTTGAAGTTTTCGATATGAGAGTCTTCCATTGGATTTCTTTCAATGGAAGAACTCCTATGTTCAGAAAATATTTGAAAGCTAATGATGCATACTGAGGTATAATATTTTTTACATTTTATTCTGACATCTTAAAACGTTTATATTATTTGTATAGATCTAGAGACCATAGGGATCAATCTGTAGATTATAATGAAAATGGGACATGTTATAAGGGAGGATTTCTTATGAAAATATGCAACACTCCTTTAAAATTGCATTAACCAATATAGAGATGACCTATACAATTTTCAAATTTGAGCAGCCAGTAGAAAATAACCCCCAAAAGCCCTCTGCATGTTAGTATCCAGCCAACCGCGATTAAGGAAACCAGTGTTATTAAAAGGAAAGAACAGTTATAACTATAAATTAAGAAAATCATGGTGAAATCTGAGCCTTAGAAGATTGTAGTCATTCATTAAATCAATTCATCAATACCTAAAGGACTGTTTATTGAGTCTTACTGTGGAACAAGTTGCTGTTCTAAGCTCTAGAGATAGAGCTTGAGCAAATATGCAACTGCTGGCTTTGTAGAGTTTAGGTTGTGTGGGGAGAGAGGGCAAAGCATTGGAAAGTGGGGAAGACAGACATTAAACATATAATCCTTATAATATCTAGGTATATCATCGACATAAGCTCCAATATCAAGGAGTATATATCAAACAGCTTTCAAGGACCTTATAACGTAACACACATCTTATAAACATGCACACAAAGACCAGTACCTCAGAGACAAAGTTTATGAGGATTGTAGGGCTGGACTTTTCTCCTTCATCTGCCATAACCCTACCTTCACTTGGAATTGTACTGCCTATACTTGTTTTCCCCTCTAGTTTAATTCCTTACAGTGTGGTATATAGTCGATGAACTTTTGTTAAATACATGAATGAATTAATATGAAAAAAAAAATCAAAGTATATGCCCAGTCCCTCCTGATAAGTTAGTACTTTCCTAATGATTAATTAATTAGAATAGTGTGCTGTTGCCTTTTTCATGCAAGCTATCAGGAAGCTTATACTGGCATTTTGGTTCAACCACTGGAATTTGGCTAATAAGATTTCTTTTAACCTTTTTATTTTCCTCACCCTATTTACTTCTTGGCTTTTTTCCTTTTGTCCTGTATTGTATGATTTTGGCCTTACTCTTCCTGAATTTATTTAAGTAAGCTTAATTGAACAAATTTTGAAAGCAGACATGTTGAAATCAATAATATTATTTAGGAAATTCAGATAGTGGAAAATAAAAGCATTGAATTAGCACATATGTTTAATCCCCAAGCATATTTTCTTTTTCTTTGTCAGGAAATAAGTTGTAAATTTTAGTTTTGCAATGAGGGGAAAGGAACAAAAGATACAAATAATTGACTTATACATAAGCTTTCTTTTCCTGATTATAAAAACCAAAAAAAAAAAATCATTACTGTGGAAAACATAATAAAAAAGGAAGAAAAGCAATACCATTTCTAAAAATTTTAGTGTATTTCCCTCTGGTTATGGAAAGAGAGAGATGCATATTTTGAACTTATATTGTTAATAATTTGAGACAGATTACTTTTCATTGAAATGTATCACAAGCCTTGGCTAAAGCCTGTAAAACTTTTTAAAATATTACTTTTAGTGACTGCATCTCATCCTAGCTTACTGAACACTCTCCTATCATCATCTGTGTAAGTTGTTTTAGATTTTAAATTGTGTATTCCTAGGATTGAAAACTTATGTACAATGATCTATCCAAATTTTTTTGCATCTTTTATTTCCTTTGGGATTCTCCTGGAATTAGAGGGCCAACATATAGGGTTTGTTTTTTTTTTTTTGAAGATGAAGAAGGTAGTCCAGATGAAATATCTTTTTACATCTCTCTCATTGCCCTATAACTTTCCTGTCCTAGAAACTGATTCACATTTGTCAAAACCTAAAGCAACTGACCTCAGATATGATCAAACTAATGAAAAGAAACACGGCACCACCATTATCTTTTTTTCAGAATGCTGTGCTTTCATTAGGAAACTCTTAGGTTGTGCCAGCATTACTTCTTACAACAACAGTGTGTTGATAAATCATATTTAGCATAAGGTTAACATCTCCCAACACACACATTGGCCTTTTTCATATGTGTTAACACTGTGTGAACTCCATTTATTGAGTGTCTTCTCTGTTTAGAGAGCTGGAGAATTAAAGGCATTTTAAATGTTCAGTGTTGTACTGTACCATCATTTATGTACTTGTTTCACATCTTTATTTAAGACTGTCCCGGGGTGTTGCCAACTCATTCATTTTTATTTTAGTCACTTAAATATTTATTTACCTCCCAAATTGTACTGGGAACTTTTCTATGTACTAGGTGTATAGCTATGGAAAAAAAAAAAAGTTAATTCTGTTAAAGTGTTTGGAGATTTTATATAAAAAAGTTACTCAAACAAGCAATTTAAAAAATTAATTATAGAACATAATAAATGATACCCTTTGGAGGATAAGAAAAAAGTAATAGAATAATAGAAATACTAATGAAATTGATGATGAAATATTACATCTCCTGTGACTAATAAAGCCAGCAACAGTTCTATTTTGAAACAAAAAAAGATTGTCTAGAGTCTATAAGGTCTTGCAGAAGTCACCCAGGATCATGAGAATAATGACATTGTCAGTGATACAATAATATTTTATTCAAAGTTTCCTCACTCAGGCTGTTGGTAAATAGATAACATAATGTTTAAAAGGCCCATAATTAGAATAAAAAAATATATTGTGAAACCTTTTTTGTAGTGCTTTACAGATATGATCTGCTGCTCTAATTTTCATGATGGTGCACATGTTTTGAACACCTCACTTCACTATGCAATAGAATTTTAATTTTTCAGAATTTAATTCTGATTGTTTAATCTAGTAAGTTAGATCAGGAGGTATTATGATGAAAATCTGTGATAGACATGGGGATGCACTACCCAGATCTCATTTCAAGGAAGAACTTGCTGCCCAGCTACACAGAGAGAAGTCAGGAGATAGCCTTCAGCTTTCTGCAACTTCTGGGTCTGCCTCAGCTGCAAAGACCACTTTGCTCAAGGGCAAGCCCACCCCAAGGCCACCTGCCTCCAGTGACTGAGTGAGATGATATACAGGCTCTGCTTTTTCAACCAGAAGTGAGACTCCCTCCAAAGCTCGCTGTATGGCTGGCTGAGGCACATTACAGTTTGACTTCTTTCTCTCACTAATCCTGCTTCTGCCCAAGCCCTTCACCAGTTTCGACCTCCTATAAACATCTTGCACCCAAAACTCCATATCAGCTGTGCTTCCAGAGAACTCAGCCTGGGACAGTGACTGACCTAAGTTTTAAATGAACATCTTAACATGACACAGCAGTCTAAGATAGATGTCTGAACCCCCATGCAGAAGGAGCAGTTTCTGAACTACCTCAAGGGCCTTGATATACTAGAATTGCATCACAAAGAAAGCACCCATTGCAAAGGGTGCATTACAGGGATCAAATACAACTTTCTGAATTTTATAAAAGCTTACAGAGTGGGATAATTTCTGTATCCCATAAAATGGCACATGTAAAATGCTCACCTGAGTCCTGAACATGAGAAGTTATTTCAATCACTCAGTAAATAATTCTGGGTTTCAGGCCCTGCCTCTAGTACTTACTAAGGATGCAAAGGTAAACGTTAGGCCATTCAAGGGAAGAATCCATACACAGATAACAAGACTAAAGGTTTTGTGGGTGCCCAGTATGTGTTAAAAACTGAATAGCAAATAAATAAACAACAAGCAAACAAACCTGAATAGCAGAGAATTGTGAAGGAGAAATTAATGTCCCCTAAGGTTTCGAGTTTCTGTGCTAAAGGATATAGCTAGAAAGGAGCCCTACCAAGCAGAAGTCACAAAAGGATAATAAGAATAATACATGGTGTCAAATCTGCAGATTACTAAGGATTAC